CCTGTGTCTGGCTTGGCCCTGCTCTTCCTTGCCCCCACCTTGTGGGCCTCTTCTCCATCTTTCTTCCTCATCTTTAGTTTGTCCCTCTCTTACCTCCTCTTTCTTTTCCATGTTTCTCCCCCTTCTCTTCATTTTTTCCCATCCCATTTCCCTACCAATCTTCCTCTTTTGGTTGGTCTTAATGGGGAAGTAAAGTATCAATTTTTTGCAGTGGTGTGGTGGTATGTGTTTAAATATATTAAATGAGCTGATGAGTTTGACTTCTCACATTTCTCCAAGAGGAAAAGTTGCTTTTTTCTTATATACTCTTGGGGTTTGGGGTGGGTGTTTTTGGTTTGTTTTGGTGTATGAGTCTGGGCCCTTGAGAGAGGAAAAAGGTTCTCTTGCTGCTCCTGAGGGAAGCAGTGTCCTTATCCCTCCAGAGCAGTTAGGATAAAATGTGTCACGGCAGCAGGAAGGAGAATTCAACAGCTTCTGCAGACAGCTTGCGTGCGCCCCCTTTCTTTTCCAGACGTCTGCCTTTTATTTTTCTCATTCTGCCACATTCACGATCACCATCACAGCTTGTTTTAGCTCCTGTCTTGAGAATAGCATGCCTCAGGATTTCCTGCAAACAAAAATGTGACCCTCAGATCAGCTGTGGTCAACCAACTAGGCAAGCACCTGGCTTTTATTCCGAGTTTTGTTAACAAACAGCTTTTCTGTTCTGGAAAGTGTCAGAGAAACTTGGATGAGGTATTTTCACATCTTATGGACAGAGTCTCTATCATTTGATTTGAGAAGTGGGGAGGGTAGAAGGGAGGACATTGATTTTTATGCATTTTATGATCATAAAGTGCAGTATGAGCATGAGGACTTATGTTTTATTTTCCGTCTTTGAAGTTTGAATTCTTGGGGGGAGTAGCTAATTTCCCTAAACTGTTTTAAATGTCCAGGTACCTAATTTTTCTTCTTCCTTGAAACTGACATTCAAATGCTTTATATATAGAAATATAACTGCATTGAAGCAGTCTGCTTCAGGGTTGTAGAGGATATGAATAAAGCATTCATAGGCTTAAATAAAGAATGATACTATGAATTAATTAGGATATTGTAACAGGGCCAGCAAAAAAAAAAAAAGCGTTCTTTAAGATGGTAATTAATTTCTTTGTTAGTAGTGATTGTAGCACCAGAAGGAATCTGTGCCAAATTAAAGCAGGAAGTGAGTATAATTAAACTGCACTTAGATCTTCAGGTTCATTGTGTCTTGACATAATATGAAGATTTATTAGGAGCCTTTATTTATTCAAGAAAGACAATGCTGTCCTCCCACCAAAAGAGTCAGCTGGAATACAATTCAGACTTTTCCCTGTGTTTGTTTTATTTTGGCATTTGGGGTAGGGTTTTTTTTTCTGTCCCCCACCACTACCATCTCCCTCCCCCCAAAAAAGGGAAAGAAAAAAACCCTTCAAGATACCAAGAAAGAACATTAGTTAGTAGAGTTTGGGTAATTATTGGCCATATGTTTTACATTTTTTTTCTCTAGCACCATAAGGTGCCCTGAAAAGTACCATCCCTGAGAAGAAAGTGTTTATAATTCTATTAATCAAAAAGTATAACGTTTTAGAAAATATAGCTTTGCAGCTGTTAACCTCTTTGACTTTTTGCCACTAACTAGATTTTTCAGGAAGCTTAACTGAATATTTTTTCAGTGAGTTTCATGAGGTGGGCAAACGAGTTTAGATTCTAGAGGGTGAGTTTTGTGTGATGGGGGGAAAATGTGTTTACTCCATACAGAGTTCTAATTGGAGCTATTTATGCTAGCATTTCTCTCTTTAGTATGCTGATTGCCAAAGTTTACTTTTCCCCTCAGCAACAATGAAAATGTTCTGAAAGGAAGCCAGACTGACTTTCTTTGTGCGGCGAGTCCCTGTCAGAATTCTTACACCTTTCTGACTTCCTCTTCAGAGCTGGAGCCACACTTTTGTCCTTAAATGCAAAAAAACCACCAAAACTTTTTTGGCTTTTCTAGGCATAGACCCAGGTCCTTCGTGTACTGGGTGACAAATCTGAGCAGACAGTCCTTGACCAGTTTTCTTTTTCCTTTTAAATGTTTTGCACAGTCATTCATTTAGGTTTGGGGCTTTCTTTGAAGCTCAGTTCATGGATATGTGGAGCCTCTGGATTTTAACTTTGAGAAGTAAGCATTCCGGTTATGAAAGTTGGCTTGGACAAGATGCTTCACTTTCATATAGATCATTGCAAGGTTAATGTGCCATTTGTTGAGCTTCGGTGACTTTATCCTTGATGGGTTTCTCCCAAAAGAAATAAACCCTCACAAAAGCTTCTTGGTGATGCTGGTGACTGGCAGATAATCCGTATTTTATAGTGGACAGTATGTGATTAAGACCTTCTGTGGCAAATATACCCGTGGAATTCCGGGGAGAGTTTTTGTGCCTCCTGGGTCCATACAGTGATTTCATTGTGAATTTCTGAGCCACGAGTTTGGTAGAACACTTAGACATTATCTTGCTTCCAATTAAATGTGAGCTTGACTTGTTTGATTGGAAAAGAAGGCTTTGGGGAGATTTTCTTTTCCCCTTACTGTTTTTGTTTCCAGGAGAAAGTCAAATATTCAGCCATTTTACCATCCCACTCCTTTTGGAAACTTGTTGGGCTTCTTTATGTATCTTAATACACAAAGACATATGTTGAGTGCTTTTGAGTTCTAGCCACTGCTAGCCTTGCATTCTCCTATTGTCTGGTCTAGCATCTTGTGTGAAGACTGATGATTGAACAAGTTGCTCTTGCCTTCCCTGCTAGGTGTGCGATTGAGCTTCAGAGTGTCCACCAATGTGTAGTGTGGAGTAGCTGGGACGAGTGCGTGGCAGAGAACTAGGCTGAGGCCAGTGAGCTCGCTCAGTGCAGTGTGGCTAGTGAGCTGTTTTCTACTTCACTAATAAACATCCTTTAAAAATGTGCTTAATCTCCAGGGGGTAAAGTTATTCAAATTGGCTTAATAATTTAGAGACTCATAAATTTGCCTGTTATATATGAAGTTTTAAACTTGCCTATTTATGTGCACATAGGGAGCTAGCAGTCTCTCCTTTGCCACATAGCAGACCAGTGACCATGGACATGCCATTTGACATCTCTAGGTTCCACATTTCTTTTACACTAAATGGTCCCGAGGAAACTCCGGCTCTAACATTGTAGAAGGGAAGCTCCTTGAGGTCAGGGACTGTCTCATTTTCTCTTTGTGTACTGGGTTCCTAGCTGAGTCTTGAATAAATGTTTGTTCAATTGTGATTTCATGTTTCAAAGGAAACAAATGTCCCTTGTTAATCTATATAAGTATATTATAGGGAGAAAAAAAAATGAGCTTCCATCAGGCAGGATTTTAAATGTATGTATTGTTTAAATTCAACAAGAAGAGAAAGTAATTTGTTTTTCAAGTCTCTGGAAGCTTTGGATCCTTAGTTCCATGGTAAGAGTTTTTTATTGGGTTTTTAGCTGTATTCCGTTTTTTCCTTTACAAGTATTAATGACATGGTAACTATTACAAGAACACCTTCTATAAATTACATAAACTGGAAGTCATTAAGGAGCCTGCTGTTTGTAGTGCTTAAGCTGCACAGTTGCAATCTGTGAATTTGGTATGTGTTACAATGACATCTCAGCAGTTGTCATTAGTACCATCTGTTAAGTAGGTACATACATGCATAAAAGGTTGAGTACAGCGTCTTTTGAACCTACAGAGTTATAGTAAAAGATACAATTATTTAATTATAGAGTATTAGAAGGAGGAATTATAAATATATTAAAACATATAAGAAATGATGTATATGCATATATGTACAAGATAATTCATTAATATGCTAAACTTGGGTTCCACCTCTACATACTCATTTTAAATCTATGTATGTGTCTTATTTTTGTGTGTATAGTCATGTCTTAACTGCTGGTCAAAATGTAAGCTTAAATATAAAACAAGCTTCTCACCTGATTTTTAAAGAATTGGAAAAGGAAAGGGTAAAAGCTGGGTCCTTGGGTGTGTAGCTTCGTGAACTTCAAGAGAGAATGGAGGATTTCTGGTCTCCTTTGCCATATTTGAATGAAGGATGTATTCCTTTGGATGTGTCCCAATTTTGTGACTAGAAAATGTGGATCAAAAAGCAGAGGACATTTTATGGACTATGTCCTGTTGACTCAAATAGGATTTGATCTTCCTTTTGCAAAATAGAATTTTATCTGAAAATAACAGTGGATTGATCTTTGGCTGGGGTAAAAGGCCGTCAGACATTTGGGCTCATTCACTTGGTATCCTCATGGGATTGACTGATTAATAGGCTCCTTATTTTCTAGCAGGATGAGATATTTTATAACCAGAGGGGAATCTTTGTATTCCAGGCACCAAACCCTTTGTTGAGGAATTGTGGTTTGGAGGGAGTTTACTCTTAAGTTGTGAGGACCTCACTGATTTTGGTTCTTGACAGTTTTTTTAGATGTACTCAGTTTTAAGTGGTCAGTGTTGCTAATTCTAAAATAAGCACATTTCTTTTTCATTTTGTTTCCTTGATTTCCAAGTAGAGCCTTCAGTGTCATTCCTTCATTCTTATACTGGCAGCTTGGTGTAGTAAAAAAAGCACACTGGATTTTGAATCCTAGGACCTGGGTTCAAATCTGTTTCTGCCACTTAGTACATACATGATTACTGGGCTCATTAAGTTGGATTAGAAAATCTTTCAGTTCTAAATCGCTGATCCTAAGAAATGTTTAAAAAAAAAAAGGGGGGGTGGTGGTGAATAAGCAAGATTGGCTATTCAGAGCTATCTTTAAGATGTGAGCTTATGGAAATATGAGTAAGAAAACTGAAAACTTACTTAAACCAGCACCCGCTGTACACTGCTGAGCACTAAGGAAGGTCAAAGTGGAAAATTTGACAAATCAAGAAAACTAGCCACCTGTTGTTCTGTATGTGCAGCAAAACATATCAATTTTTGTGTTTTGTTTTATTGCAGACTCTAAAAAATTCAAAAAGTCTTTGCTCCCTTGATTACGAAGATGATGATGAAGATGATACCCAAATGAAGACAATTGTGTCCTCCCCATGTGACTCAAATGACCTCATGAGCATCATCACCCCTGGTTCCAGTCCAGTGAAAGAGCAGCTGGATGAAGTTAGACATCACGGACCATGCCAAATTGGCTTCAGCACAAGGGATTGTGCGAAAGCAGCTGCAGGATGTGAAAGCGATGAAGAAGACCCCAGTGATTGTGAGAGTGCCGAGGAGGGCATATTTCCTCTGGACTGTGGGGACCTAGATCTAGAGCAAATTGAAAACAACTGAGTCAGTCCTAGAGTTGGGGTTAGAATCAGTGAGTTTTTCTCAATTTCCACTGATAGCGGATTACCTTTGCCATGTGTAATCCATATCCCCGAACGTCTATAGTGGCCATTGTTGAGGGGCTATGTTTAAAAAAAAGAAAAACAAAAAAGCCAAAAAAAAAAAATTCAGGTGGGGGAAATGGGAAATGAAGTGATGTCACCTGTTTATAGTCTGTTAATCAGTATATGGACAGAAAAAAAAATAGGTTAAATGTTATTTTGAACATTAAGGAGTAATTTTGATTAAAGTTTTCCTAACAAAAGTATTTTGCATTTTTATGGCTTTTACAGTTGTGGAGAAATCTTCTCTATTTTGAAATGAATTTCCTGAAGGGCATTTTATTAAAGTCAATCTGCCTACAGTGATTCTAGTGCGGGTATCCGTTCCTTTTGTTCAAATGCTTACTGGGAAAAACTGAGTTGTGTAATGTAATTGGTAACAAAACTTCAGGTATCTGGAGATCAAAACTCTTGAAGTCTCCGATTGACACTTGGTCAGAAGTGCTTGTCCATCATTACTTCGAGTGGTTACAAGACCTCTTGAACCGAGACAATTTTTCCTCCTACATTCAGACTTTTTGATTAAAATGTAGTGCTGACCTTACAGGTTTAATATTTCCCCAGCTTTCACTACTTGAATCTTTTCTAGCCTGAAGCCATGCTAATTCAGGCGGGTTAAAAATTCAAGTAGCTTCCCTGCTTGGTGGTCAATATTATGTTTTCTGTGCTTCAGAAGAATGTATGACAAAGAGCACTTGAACTTTTAGACAGGGGCTTTGTAATGCAATGATCAGTTCCCCAGGAGGTGATCCCTTGAGCAATACTAGACAGAACCTAGTCCTTGAATTCAATAAAAGACTTTTTGCTTTGCATATGTGGCTTTCTGCTTATTAATTTGGTTTAAATGTTGCTTCTAAAGTCCCCAGTGGTTACTTGACCTTGCCTGGGCTTTGTTCAGCCTAAGAACAAAGCATGTGTTTTTATTTTCACATTTAGAACAGGGCCCTGCCCTAGACAGCCCTTGAGCTGAGCCCAAAAGTCTCTGAAGACTATGAAATTGGGGGCAGTGATGGGAGGAGGGGCAATGGGGTGGGGTTTGAGGGTGGAGATGGTTGTTGGTGGGGGTGTGTAGACCATTAACAATATCTCTGGAAAATATTTCTTGGTTATTGAAAGAAAATGTGAAGTGTCATCGTTGACACACATTTTTATTAACTCAGCTAGGCCAAGGATGTAAATGTTGTGAAGGTGATAAATGACTCTTCCCTTGAAAGGTAATCTTTAACCTTGTTGAGGCTTCAGTGGTGTTAAAATGGGTGGGAAGGTCAGAAGTACTTGTGACTTAATTTCTGATTCAGTCTACCACACAAGACTTCCTTCCTGTTTTGAAGAAGAAGAGAAGAAGCACTTACTTATGCACCAAGATTTTAGCAAGATTATTAATGGTCAGAACCAGAAGCTTTGTATCTGCTAATGGATTAAAATCAGAAAAATCGCCTATTGGGTAGAGCGAAGAACTCAGCTTTAAGGGAAGCTGGTGAGGGAAATTGCTCGCTATAAATGACATGGAACAAAAATACACACTTGGCATTGCACAAAAACTTGACCTTAGGAGGTGTACTCTTCAGTGCTACTGAGCTCACCTCCCTCCTCTCCCATCCCCCACTTAAGTTGCTTCATCTATGTCACATCTAATGGTATTTCCATACTACTGTGTATCTGAGGCCTGGTTTCGAGTCTGATTTTCAGTTCATCTAGCTGATGAGTGAATCTTGCCCTAAGATCACTTGATTATTTCTCTTGACTTTTCTTGGTTATTTGACATATTTTTGGACTTAAATAAATGAATATTTTGTGTTCGTTTAATCTTTCTTGTAAATAAAGCATTTTCTCTTACCACCTCAAGGAGAGGAGTATATAATCTCCTCTGGAGGTATAGTAAAGCAACAACAAATATCATAACAGGGGTTCTTAAGCAGGGGTCTGTGGATAGATTTCAGGGGGTCCATGAATTTGGATGGGGAAAAAAAAGTTACATCTTCATTTTCACTAATCTGGCTGAAATTTAGCATTTCTTTGACTTAATGAATTTTTTAAAAAAAAAACCATTCTGAAAAAGGATTCCTAAGAACCCCCCGGCCTACAGTTCCATTTTGTTTTCCAAAAAAGGACATTTGGGTATATCCTACATTCTAGTTTTGGTTCTTTTTCTCCTCCATTCAAGGGAAAAGAGATGAAATGATAACTATTTTATCCATAAAGTTCCGTTTCCATTAGAACTCTCCTTCTACTTCATTCCCCCACCTCCCCATCCTAGAGTTCGAAAGAGATCTCCAAGAACGTCTCCTCTAACCTCTCTGCGCATGACCCCTCTTTACAGATGTCAGAGGTTTCGAGCTGGAGAGGGACCTGGTCAAAGGATGACCAGAGGAAAGATGCTTGCTGGATCTCAGAGGCCGTTTAATTCAACCTTCTTCATTTTACAGGGGAAGAAACTGAGGCTCGGAGAGAGAAAGTGACCTGCACAGAGTTATGCAAGTAGGAAAGCAAGGATCAAATCTGAGCCCCCAGATCTAGCGTTCTTGTTTTGTGTTCTGCAAATGTTCTCCTTCCTCTGCCACAGCACTTGAATGAAGGGTTCGTGGTTAGCCCCCCTAATCGTTGACCATTTCCAATTTTTAGTGACTTTTTTTTTCATTATAAATTCCCCTACCTCTTGATAATTTCTATTCATTGGCCTCAGTTCTACCTCTGGTGCCATATACTATAAGCACTATGTAAACTTTATACAGAGTTACCCACAAGGAATGGGGGGGACATTGCTGGGGATTGGGATTGAGTTCTAATCCTACCTCTAACACTGTTAGCTGCTTAGTAGCTGTTAGCTCTCTGAATTTCATTTCGCGATGGGGATAATACTTATAATACCTATTTCACTGAGTTGTTGGGAGACTCAAATGAGATTCTGTTTTGTAAACCTTAAAACACTATGATAAAGCTTCATGTTGTATGTGATCAGCTTGTATGCATTTTTGAGAGTAACACATTTCTATGCTCTTCATTATAATATACTCACCAGGCAGTGTCCAGCTATTTGCCTCAATTTGCTATGGAACCTCCAGGCTAGGAGTTCTAGTAGGACTTTCATAGATCATTGTTATCTTCTGTTTTCATGGAACACTTAAAATCCACTTGATTTTGTTGTTCTTCTTGAAAAGGAATGGGTTGTGTTAGATGATAGTATCTAAAGTCCTTTGAATCACTAATCCATCATGCATAATTCTGCCCTCTTGATTTTCTGCCATTTTGACCTTAATATTGGTCTTAGAAAGAGCAAGTTCTGGTAGTCTCACAAAAACATGTGAATGATAACAATTCTGCCTCCCTTTCGTTCAATCAACAGTCACATTAAGGACCCTTGCTTAGACTTGAAAGAGATACAAATGGGAGTTTATCAATCCATCCAGGAGAGGGGGCCATCAATTTCATCTGCATCTTGAACTGAGTGTCCCATAGACATCTTAGATTCTCTATCCCAAACTGAGCTCGTCTTTCTCCCCAAACTCACCCGTTTCCCTAGCCTTCCTATGCCTGTTGAAGGCATCACCATCCTCCCAGTCACTCGGGCTCACAATCTACGTGTCACCCTCAACTCCTCACTCTCACACACACCCGCATTGCCAGGTCTTGTTGATGTTGCCTTCTGAAAATCTCTTGAATATCCCCTCTTTTCTCCTCGGCCACTGCCACCACCACAGTGCAGGCCTCAAACAACTCATACCTTATCTGTTGTAGTAGCCTGTTAGTGGGTTGGCCTGCCCAAAGTCTCGCCCCCCTCCAATTCCACCCTCCATTGAGAAGCCAAAATGATTTTCCTAAAGCAAAGTCCTGACCATACCACTTGCCAACTTGAACCTCCAGTGGCTCCCTGTCACCTCTGGGCTCAAATACAGAATCCTCTGGCATTCAAAGCCCTTTATAAACTGTACCTTTCTTCCCCCCACCCCAGCCTTTCAGAATATCTCCCATGCTCTGATCCAGTGACACTGGTCTCCTTGGTGTTCGTCACATAAGACACTCAGTCTTCCTCTTTTGGACATTTTCACCTCTTGTCCCCCATGCTTGAATTCCCTCCCTCCTCATCTCTGCCTCTTGCTGGCTTCCTTTACAAGCCCCAGCCAAAATCCCATTTTCTTTGAGAAGCTTTCCTGATCTGCCTTCTCTTTATTGAATATCTCCAGTTTATCCTGTAGATATGTATTGTGTGTACATAGTTGTTTCTTCGTATCCCTGTTGTTTAATGCAGTGCCAGGCACGTGGTAGGATGAATAAATGCTTATTGACTGACCCACATAACCAATAAGCAATATGGCAAGTACATAAGGGAGATGTAGACAAAGAGGCTTGAAAGGTACGCAGATGAATGCATAGCTTCATACTGTATTTCTATGTAGTTACTCTGTATTAACCACAGCTCTCTTTCTGGCTAACGTTGCAAAGAAGATCATAGAATCATAGATTATAGTTTTTTAATTTTTTTCAATTAACATTTATTTTTTTTCTCCCTCCTTTCCCTCCTGTCATTGAGAAATAATGATTTTAGGTAGCATTTATATAGCACTTTTAGGTTTGGAAAGCAATTTACACATATTACCTCATTTGATCCTAAAAGAAAAAAGACAAAACAAAACTCTTATTGATTGACTTACAACTTCAAAGAACCCCAGCCAACATCTGGCCTGCTGCCTCCCCCAAGTCATGAAAAACCCATCCACGACAATCCCACACCTTTGTTTCTAGGCCATCCATGGCAGCTCTCCCTTGGGAAGGTCGCCGGGAACGTTTTTGAATAGCTCTTAGGACTTTGCCTGGAAAATCTTTTATTAGAGAACTTTATTCCCTGCCCCCACACCCCCCACCCAGCAATCCAAACGAACAGTTATTAAGCTCCTACCATGTGTTAAGCCCCCTCCTGTAAGTAATGCACATACAAAAAATACAAAGGCAAAAAAATTGTCACAGTCTCTGCACTCAAGGAATTTACAATCTGGAACCGAGGGAGCAAAGTACACAACCGTAATCCAAATGCATGGGAGAAATCCAAAGAGAGTACTTGGCTGTCCTTTTTAAAAAAAAAAAAACACCCTGGTGGAGAAGTAGGAAGTTCAAAATGACAAATGAACTTTTCTGCCGTTGCAACTTGGTAAAATGGTAAATCCTTCCACACAAACACCTTAATTAGGCATGGTCAGCAGTCATTAATTTATGGACTGCCAGTGCAAGGATTATCTACAATCGTACCCCTAGCGCACAGCATTAGGACTGACACATAGTAAATGTTTGACTCGTAGGTCAGTAGTAGAATGTAAGCTGTTTGAGGGCAGAGAGACTCATTCTTGTTTTTTTTTTTTGTCCTCATATCCCCATGGCCCACAGCACAGCATCTTGCACACAGTAAATGCTTAATAAATGCAAATCGAAATAAATGGAAGGCTAAACCTAGCGTGTATCTTTACACACAATAGGAGCCTAGTAGTTGCAGCATAAATGACATTGAATGAAGCTTTAGCTGCGGGACACCATTAGCCCCAGCACAAGAAAATATGAATTAGCTAAAACAAAGTTTTGTTTGGCGTTCAAGAGCAGGAGCCTAGATTGAAAATGCCGAACAAAAGCTCATTCCAGTACCAATTCATAAAGCAAGCTGGTTCTCTCTTCACTAGTTCTCCAACTTGGAAGGATGGCACATTATAATTAGAAATGAAAACAGCTATTGCCCTGCATCTACATCACCTATTACTGGAAACCTCACGATACTTGTGTAAATCATCCCGGAAACTGGAAGCCAGCTGGGTTCACTAGCCTGGAGCTC